TTTAGTTACTATTTCCTTTCTATACATATATCAATATGATAGGATGGAGAGGTGGAAGGCCCCATGGCTGCTCACTTTAAAATGCCTTCCCTTGCCTCCTGCTGTGTTACTTTAGTGCATTATTTAGCATGTTAAACCAAGGCAAAGGGACCCTACCAGATGCATCTGTTTTCTGGGGCTCAGAGCCTCTGCATTGGTGGTCTGGGCTCATCTGGAGGCAGTTTCCACTGGCTGAAGACTGGGAGAAATTTCAACCCTGCAGTAAACAGGCCCCGCTCCCAGGGAAGAGAAGGGGAGACACATCTGCTTCCTGGGCTGGTTTGGCAGTGGATCTTTTACTGCTGGTGCCGTTAGCTAAGAGGCGTTTGCACTTTGTCCCGGGGCAGAATGAAAGCAAGTGGGAAATGAGACAAATGCCCTTGCCTTATTCATGGATGAAAACAACAGACCTTCCCCGGTCACCTCGCTGTTGAACATCACAACGTCCTGCCCCATGGGGCAGGGAAACACCCCTCGACCGTAGAGACTGGCTCCCTCTGGGAGTCAGTGTGGCCCAAATCATCCAACCCCGTGGGATCAGAGATTTGCGCTAGCCCTGGCAGAGTCTAGGACTTTCTCCTCAGTTGAGCTGGGACTTTGGTTTGGGTGCAGAGCTCAGAACATCTGCTGATGGAGCGCATACTCCATGAGGTCTGTGTTTCCGCTGTCAGCAGTCAGAAGGGTCAGTGGAGATGGACTGTCCGGAGGAGTAAGCGTGTGGCAAGCAGTACGTTCAACACAACTGTTCTCCTAAGGGCAGAATGACGTAGGACACTCTGCCCACCTGAGCCAAAGTCTGTCCAAGTCAATGGAAAGACTCCCACCAACTTCACCGAGTTTTGGATCAGGCCCTTAAAGCCTAATGTTGACTAGGGAGGGATAGCAAAGTGTCTAAGGCAAATTGCACCCGTCTAGATTTTTTTGCTGTATTTATGTTGGTCTCCATTTCATATGTTCACAGTTTCAAAAACAAAGCCCAAGGTGGAACTGGATGGAAAAATGAAAACATTTTCTTATATAGTTATTTTTGGTTGATCTGGGGGCTTTAAAGGGAGAAGAGGTGCATATGCAGAACAGGGCAGTTCCAATGCACAGCTCACAACATTCCCTGTATGCCAGCAGGGACAGGCCGAACCCGAACTGTGCCACAGGTTTGCGTAGCGTTGTCTGTACTTGTGTACAGCTTTACAAGTGGTTTGCATGCAGTACGGCTGCATCACGGCTGCTCACCTGCCTACGATGCCTCTTGGTATTTTTTCATCCCAGCCGTCAGAATAGCCTACTTTTGTTCACATGACCAATAATGGATTTGTAGGGCGACATAATGTATATTTTTCATGCAATTTTCTTGAAGGTAAACTACAATTTCTTAAATCTTATTCTTAAATCTGAATATGGGTGAACTTACTGTGTTAAGAGAAGCATTCCGGCAGTCATAACTCTCCCTCCATATTAATGTACAAACATACTTCAGCTCTGTCTGTGGTACTGTACCCTGAGTGCAATAAATTCCTCATTTTGCGTCAGGTCTGACCTCTCCTCATTTATATACTGTTGAGAATAACCATTTGCCCTTCTCATGCCTCTTTCATCTGAGGATCTCAAAGTGCTGGATGAATATTAATGAATTAAGTCTCACAACCCCTGTAAGTAGCTACTTTACTATCCCATGTTTCACCGATAGGGAAACTAAGGCATGGAGACGTTAAGCATCTTACTCAAGATCACCCAGCTGGGAATAAAATTCACATGTCCTGTCTCCTGGTTCCGGGCTCTGATAACTAGGCTCTGGAATCCATCCTATAGCTTCTAATAAGTGTGGACAATAGGAGTGTTGTCGCTGCTTTTGTAAGTTGGTGCTTTGTGACTTCTTTATTGTCGGCTGGCTTCCAGGTTTGGTAAAAATACTCAGCCCTACACCCTGAAAAATAATGAGCCTTGTGGGAGATGGCCCTGCAACTTGGCAGGCAGAATAACTGAATGGCTGATACGGGACTTGAGTAACAAAGAATTAAAGGAGAGTAATATAGTTAATGGGCTTATGGAAAAGAGATCTTGTCAATCTAATTTGATATCTTTTTTAATGAGATGACAAAGTTTGGTTGATCAAGATAATAGTGTTGATGTAATAGATTTCTGTAAGGATTTGACTAGGTACCACGTGGCATTTTGATTACTAGAACGATGCAAACTCAACATGGCACATGTGAAACGGTTTAAAAACTGGCTAATTGATAGGACTCAAAATGTAATTGTAAATGGGAAATCATCATCAAGCGGGGTCCCACAGGGATTGACTCTTGGCCCTCCGCTGGTTAACGCTTTGATCCATGGTAATGTTTGCAGGTGACACAAAAGATCAGAGCAATGACAAATAATGAAGAGAACAGCTCATGGATACAAAGCAATCTGGCTCGGCTAGTAAACTGGGCACAAGCAAACAAATGTGTTTTAATCTGGAACTAAGAATGTACACCATACTGACAGGATGGGGGACTCTCTCCTGGGAAGCAGGGACTCTGAAAGGACTTGGGGGTCATGGTGAATAATCAGCTAAACATCAGCTCCCAGTGCGAGTTTGTGGCCAAAAGGGCTAATGCGATCCTTGGATGTATAAACGGGAATCTTGAGTAGGAGTAGGACAGTTCTATTAACTCTCTATTTGGCACTGGTGAGACGGCTGCTGGAATACTGTGTCCAGTTCTAGCGTCGGCAGTTCAAGGAGGATGCAGATCAATTGGAACAGGGGTCAGAGAAGGGTCACAAGAATGATTAAAGGATTAGAAAACCTGCCTTACAGTGATAGACTCAAACAGCTCAATCGATTTAGTTCAACAAAGAGAAGGTTAAGGGGTCACTTGATCCAGTCTATAAGTACCTCCACAGGGAACCAACATTTGAAAATAGAGGGCTCTCAAGCCAGCAGATAAAGGTATAACGAGATCCAGTGACTGGAAGTTGAATGTCGACACTGAGATTAGAAATACGGTGCAGTGAGTGTAATTAACCATTGGCTACCAAGGTTCGTGGTAGAGTCTCCATCCATCACTGGCAATTTCTCAAAGCCAGATTGGCTGTTTTTCTAAAAGAGCTGCTCTAGTTCAAACAGGAATGAGCCCAGGGAAGTCCTATGGCCTGGGTTATGCAGTAGGTCGGATTTAGGTGATCACAATGATCCCTTCTGGCTTTATAATCCGTCTCCCAAACCTGACATGTCTGACTGCACATCACCACTAGCCTGGCCGAATCACCAGTGTGGGAGGGCAGGAGGCCCAGGGGATTTGGGACAGAGGAAAGGGACGTTGTGCAGCTGAAGGTTATTAGCGTTCATTATCCATGGATGTGCGTGACACAGTACAGGACCGAATACAGA